GGAGAAGTTCAAGTACCTCGGAACTGTATTTACTAGTGATGGAAAGTTGGAGGAAAAGATCGACCGGCGATTTGGAGTAGCCAGTGGCGTTCTGTGTGAACTGGCCAGACCCATTGTGACTAAAGCAGACCTCAGACTGAAAACTAAGCTCTCAATATTCAAGTCGATCTTTCTCCCCATACTTACTTACGGTCATGAATCGTGGACCTTCACTGAAAAACTTCAAACCCGGGTACAAGCTGCTGAGATGGGTTTTCTTAGACGAGTCGCTGGCCTTACGCGTCTTGACATGGTCCAGAATACTGATATCCGGCGGAATATTGATATCTGGAAGATCCTTGATGTAGAGCCTCTGCTCCTCCAGACTGAGAAGTCACAGCTGCGAGTGGGCATGTGTTGCGAGTGTCTCCAGAAAGGAAGGCTAAGCAACTGTTTCTTGCGTAACCGACCGGCAGAAGGCCCAGGGGACGGCGAAAATAAACCTGATGCAAATATATGGAAGGATTCTGTTCCAGACTCCAGTTGTCTTCTGCCGAAGCTCAGACTCTGGCACAGTATCGGGAGCGTTGGAAGCTCTGTCCGACGCGTCTGTCTTCGCGACCCGAAAGGAGAAGCGGCGATGGAAGATGATGATGACATAAGGAAATACGTATTTTGGAATGCTAAAAGACAAATGATATGGCTAACTTTCAGCAATATAGCTAAGGAATCATCACCTAATTTCGTTAACATTGTCAGTCTAAGTTCTCTGATGCTAACGTAAATTATTCTACATCTATATAATTATGAGAATTCACGAGGAACAAAAACGTATAATTGTACAAGTGGAAATATCTAAAATCATATAAATATCTAACACTTAGCTAACATAATTATTTAACTAAAGAAAGATCAATATCATCTTTAATTAACAGAGCTTTTAGACGCTGTAGCAATGAACTTCTTGAAGAAAAAATTAAACACTAATACATGCTTGTGTAGTAAAAGCCATTACTCTGCTAAGTTGGTTATACCATAAAGCGTAGAACTGGCCATTTTAATCTACCTGTAACACCGATAACTGAAGATATAACGTATCAAATAACAAGCCTTACGGAATTCTGCCGCATTATTGAAATTTTAATGAAAAACTGCAAAGACAACTTTACACTAAATACAGTGCTAACGCTATGTATAGGCAGGTCATATAATCTTAGTACCCTGCTAAATATATCTGATGATGACTGTTTAGAATGGATTTAGAAACTGCTTTGTGACTGCGAGAAATACTGTTTAGGCGAAACCAAAAACACCGTCACCTAAGAAACAAAAGCCCATCTGTCGAACTGGGGAAGATGGATTTCTGCAGATGAATGCGAACAACACGCGGCAACAAAGCATTCTAGAAGAAAATATATCGTTCTTCCTAAAGGTCAAAGAGCAATTTGATAAACCAGCAGAGATCGCGCAGCGGAGAAACTACACGCTTCTCAATTGTTAGATTTCGTGAGAATCGTTAGAGAGAGAAACTGACTAAGCAAATGAACCAAAGAAACCTTAATTATCTACATATATGAAAACGTAAACTAGAGAAAGCATAAGAACTCCGCGTGGGTCGAACGAGTCTTATCCAGGTTATGACCGGAAAGTACTTCATCAAAAAGATGGGCCGAAAGCCCGTCTTTCGCTTCAGACATCACAGTAGCTTCGAACTACACGGACCACTCTGAAAATAGCCCGTTAAAAGCGAGCCGAAACGTCAGTTCCTGTCAGTCACCGAACTGATCAACTCATTTATTTGCAGTGTGCATAAATAACCGCGTTTATACTATTTTGAATGAATCGACATATACATATCAAAAAGCTGCCGCATAATGCGGCGAGGACGGCGCGACGAGCAGCAGCAACAGTCACTTATTCACTTCGCTGAAGGCGGAATATTTTTCAGCTGACTAACTGGAATTTTAACAAGGCGGTATTGCACAAATAATATGACAACTTCAATGTAAGTTAAATTTTCTTAATTGGACATCGGAAAATGAAAAATAATACTTGAAAATCATACCGTACTACGCGTAATTTCAAAGTGCAAAATTTATTAGTTTTGGTATTAGTCGTGGCATCATTACGCATCTGAGCCATGAAATAAAATATTCTAGTATATTTTAACTCCTTTTGAAATACTATGATTGTCATGTAGTGCGTTTTTTATTTTGAATTTGCGATTTGTTTTCAACGCTTCTGTTGACTTCCACTTTATCCTTCTTGCCCTTCGGTGACCTAATGCTAACAACTGTTGGGTGTTCTGCAGTGTTATAAATACGCAGAGCAGAAAACAGTACAAGCTCGAATTTTGTGCTAGTTTGATCAGTTTTGGTAATGTTGACTGGCAGGAGTAAAGAAAGGTGAATTTCATTTACCCTTTTTCGGCGGTAATATCTCACCTCTTGTTGCTCAGGGTTTTTTCATTTTTGAGGTTACACCTCTCAGGATCAGGTCAGAGTACCATGCTGTCCCTGTTATTCGCAATACCATCTTACTACGCATTTCGCGCCTTTCTGCGTCGAAGTAACGTAGGGTCATTTGCTTGCTCAGCGGAATTCCCGGCGAAGTCAGAGATTATCCATTCTCTAGAGTCGACCTCTTGGTCACTGTTCCACCGCTTCCCATTTGTGCAGGTGTCGCCTTTCAAGTTTATCTGGCTAAAGGGAGTGATAATTATTGTGCGCATCGAGCGATATCTTGGTCCTCATGAAATGGAGGACAAAATCTAC